TATAAACTGAGACATATTTTATAAAAAATAATGCTCTTTCTTAAGCAGTTTATTTTTGTAAATGCTACATAAAAATAATAATAACTGTAGATATAATCATTTTTTGATGGTGCATTTTGTCTGTTTGGACTCGTTTCCATAATATATCGTAACACGTATCGCGTATCGTGAAACTCTCTTTAGGCATCGCGATGATGGATTTCTGTCATATCGTCCACCTTAATGCATCATACAGGACCATAAACATCTGAAGAACCACAGAACGACCGACTCCCTCCATGCGCACACACACACACACACACACACACACACACGAACACACACACACACACACACACATGAACACACCCTATCCCGCTGCGACCCTCAAACCCCCCCTAATCCCACCGGGGTGTGTTTGTGTCTGCTAATGGGGAACGGCTTTTAGCATAAAAAATAGAGCACGGAGAGGGGGGGGCAAGAAGAAGAGACAGGGGGAGAGAATGAGAGAGTGGGAGAGAGGGATGAGGGGAGAGAGAGAGAGCGAGAAAGAGAGAGAAATAGAGAGAGAGAGAGAGAAAGAGGAGAGAATGAGAGAAAGAGGAGAGAATGAGAAAGAGAGAGAGTGAGAGAGAGAGGGATGAGGAGGAGAGAGAGGGGAGAAAAGAGAGAGAGGATAGAGAGGGGGAGAGAAGGATGAGGGGGAAAGAGAGAGAGAGAAGGAGAGAGGAGAGAATGAGAGAGAGAGAGAGAAGGAGAGAGGAGAGAATGAGAGAGAGAGAGAGAGAGAAAGAGAGAGAGTGAGAGAAGGATGGGGGAAATAAAGGAGAGAAAAGAGAGAGATAGGGGAAAAATGAAAGAGAGGGAAAGAGAGAGAGAGAGAGAGACAGAGAGAGACAAAGAGAGACAAAGAGAAAAGAATGGAAGAGGAAAAAAGAAAGACAGAGAGAGAGAGAGAGAGAAAAAGTGAGGGAGAGAGAGAGAAGAAAACAGATAGAAAGAACGGGAGAAATAAGAAACGGAGGGGGGGAGTGGATTCCACAGAACTGAGAGAGAGAGAGAAACAGGTTTGTCATCAAACACGTTCTTGTTCATCTTCAAAGCACAGAAATAAGAGGAGTTCAAACAGGTGGAGTTCGACTGGGTGGGTGTGTGTGGGGGGGGGTGCGGCTGAGGTTCTACAGGTTCCTGTTTAAACAGCAGCCTGAGCCGCTCAGGTAGACCCCGACTCTCAGTGACGGATAACGGAGAGAACGGGAACCTCACACCTAAAACAGCCTGCAGCACCTGAACCTGAACACAGCACAGCACACGGAGAACCGCACACACACACGGGCCTCAGAACCCAGACAGACAGACTCCTTACGGCAGACACACGTCACTGACTGACTGACTGACTGACTGACTTTTCTGTTACTCTGCCTGTATGACTCCTATATGTAAATGAGCTCTGTTCTGATTGGCTGCCCTGCATTTTGCCCACTGCACTGGAGATTTCGGGTGGACTGAAGGCACCTGCGGTGCTGATATCCCAGAAAGCTCATAAACAAACGAGCCATTTAATGAACAGAATTCTGGTGAAAATAAAACCGGTCAATCTTTTTTTCCTTCATTTGTCAACAAACGAGCTCACCAGCGTTTCATTAAAGGGCCCATAGGAAGCCAAACCAAATTCTCCTCTTTTACTTTCGGAAACTAAGCTGCTATATTTCAGTCTTAAAGGCACAATAAGCGCATAAAAGCACGCAAACGTAAGAAGCTGACCTCAGGGATGAAAATACCCCAGAGAAAACGTAAAATATCACAGCAAACACGAAATAAGAGTCCGATTTATTACGTGAGCAACGTTCATTTCAAAACATGACGGAAACTGAGTTCCCTGTCTTTGTGATGTCACAAAAAAACAACTCATTTACATAGACACAACCGCTCACTCTACAGCACTTTAGCCCCGCCCATTCAGTTATAATGCCTCAGCGTGCTCCAACGTCGGTCGGTCACACGTGACACTTTTGCCACCCAAAATCTCCAGTGCAGTGGGCAAAATACAGGGCAGCCAATCAGAACTTAATCAGAAATTAATCAGAGCTGATTTACATATAAGAGTCATATAGGAAGAGTAACAGAAAAGTCTGTTTAATTCTAAAGGATAAAGAGAGGACGGAAATTTTTGATGTAAGAAATTATTCATGACTGTTTTTCGTACGTAAACCAACACAAAATAGGGCTGGGCAATTTGATGATATACATCATTATTGAGATAAATTATGTCACAATATAATTCAATATCGCAGCTGTCGGAACAAAACCTCATATCTCCAAAAGGGTAACTTTACAGGAGGAGGAAAAAACCTACTTTACTTTTAATGTAAGTCAATGGAACCAGACTTTTTTCGAAGTCAATCTGGGTCATATACACAATATATAGTCCAACAGGTATTTTCAGATTATGTCAAAAACTGAAAAATGGCAAAAATGGACATATGAGGTTTTGTTCTGAGAGCCGCGAAACGCTTTTCTGAACATATCATGTATATCGTCAGTATGACAGAACACTGACCAACTACGTTTTATAATAAAGAGAGCAAAATTAGTCCCGTTTAACTGGATTTAGTGCAAAATATTGAATCAAAATCACTGTATTCCCAATTTTGATGTTTTGTTTTTTTTAATGTAGCACTTCTGACTCTTTTCAGTTCCAAATGTGATAGTGTGTGTTGCACTGGTGCAAGTGGATCAGACACAGCAGCGCTGCTGGAGTTTTTAAACACCTCAGTGTCACTGCTGGACTGAGAATAGTCCACCCACCAAAAATATCTAACCAACAGCGTCCTGTGGGCAGCGTCCTGTGACCACTGATGAAGGACTAGAGGATGACCAACACAAACTGTGCAGCAGCAGATGAGCTATCGTCTCTGACTTTACATCTACAAGGTGGACCGACAAGGTAGGAGTGTCTAATAGAGTGGACAGTGAGTGGACACAGTGTTTAAAAACTCCAGCAGCACTGCTGTGTCTGATCCACTCGTACCAGCACAACACACTCGCTGAGAATGCTCCACCACCCAAATTGTACCTGCTCTGTGAGGGTCCATGGGGGTCCTGACCACTGAAGAACAGGGTGCAGAGAAACAGATGGACTACAGTCTGTAACTGTAGAACTACAGAGTGAAACTTCAGTGGAGCTGATAAAACTAAATAAACAAACACATAAACAAACAAACGGATGTAAACCCTGAGCTACATCCACTCATCACAGCTTCATATCACTCTCTTCACCTTATCAGGCCAAAACACAACATCAGTCCAGCAGGTGATACAGTAAGATAGATACCAGCGTGACGATAATGCGGCCGAGTGCTGGTTAGGTTGGCCTAAATCTGGACCCTGATGTGATTCACAGTGTCATCTTCTGCAGAGGAACGCCACAGGAGCTGAAAGCGCTGGACTCACATAACCCAGTTTTACAGGGCTGACTAGCAGAAAGCTAATGAATGAATGAATAAATGAATGAGTGAACACGGCTAGCACACTCCTGTTGACTCCGCTCAACAGATTGCTCAGTTTCCGTCCTATTTTAGCCTCAATAACAGCAATTACAACCATTTATAACATTAGGTGACCACAATATGGTTAAAATCCTCTGAAAAGCTGAGCTACATTGCTGTAAATGTAACCTGGGTTGCTCATTTAAAGGGGAACTCCACTGACAGTTTGAATTTTCTGCCTAAATAAATGGTTAAGATGTAAACAGAGTCATTCAGAGTGGTTTGGTGTGAAATTCTCCATTATTGAAACACTTACCAAGTCAGAATTGTTCACAGTGGTGGTGATAGGAACCAGACGTTCACCTCCAAAAGCTCTAGTTATTACATGAAATGGTTGTGAATTCACTGCCTGATGACTGAGACACTGTTTTACGGTAGTTTTAACAAGATTTTGGCCCAAAATACATTCCATTCATGGTGGAGGGATGCATGTAGGGCGTTATGAGGCAAAATAGTCCCCTAAAAAAAATACTTATTTTCAGATTTGCAGCTATTTTAATACTAGTTTTATGATAAAGCTTTGGCCTCAAACCTATTTTTGGACCTACTCTTCATGGAGGGATACATGAAGGGTGTTGTGAGGCAAAATAGTCCCCTAGGAAAACTTAATTTTTCAGATTTTCCACTATTTTGCCATCCGTAAAACCTCATAAGATGGGTGTAGGCTCACTGTTGGTTTTGGATAGTAAACAAAACGCCTACATTTGCGTTGTAGTCATGGCGACGCCTGGTTCCTATCACCACCACTGTAAAGAAATCTGAACCATTTCACACCAAACCACTCTGAATCTCTCTGTTTACAAACACTGACTTATGGACAATTTTGAAAAACAGGTGGAATTCCCCTTTGGCTTACTGAACCACACTAAGCTCTATTAGCCATCATGATGAGCCCAGATTAGGCATTAAAACCATAATAAATACATAATAGAAGTGGCTCAGGTTACATTTCTGGACTAATATGACGTTTATCACCGTTATGATGTGTTTATTATACACAACATTGCTTGAGGCTGCTGCTGAAAGCTGAAGTTAGGATGCTGTGCAGGGTTTGGACACTGTTTCACACGTTTATTACACCTTTATCTGCTCCACCACATAAATAGCACTTCTGTTTATGAACGTTTTAACCAAAAAACTTCACTACCTGCAAATTAAATACACAAAACAGCTATGAAAATCATAACGCTGAGCTGTTTTCTGTTATATCACACACACAAATCACCTCAACGCATCGAATATGATCATTCAGAAAATCCGAACCACTAATATGTGATAATTAATGAGACAAAATCTCTGATCGCCAGGTTGTTTTTCGAATTTTTCCGTTCCACCTTAAACGGTGCAGCAGTTGCATTCTGGCGCCACGGCGCTAGAATGTAGCTGCTGCACCATTTAAGGTGGAACGGGAAAATTCGAAAAACAAGCAGGCGAATAAGAAGCCGATTTCAGCCGAACATCATCGCTCCCTACCTGCTGCTTTTCACCGGCGGATTCAGTGAAAACTTCTCTTGAAGAAATCCCGAAATGTTCCCAAATTTGAAAATTCCCAGCTCCAGAAATGTTTCTGGGAGAAGAGCCAACGTAGTGATACGCAAACACTCACACACTTCCACACGCCTATTAGCTCCGCCTGGGACTAAAGCCCGCCCCCGCGCTCTGATTGGCTGAAGAGCCCGCCGGGGCTGACGATTCTAAATCTGATTGGACGGTTCTGCTGCCCGTTGCGTTTAACTCGTATTCTATTGGTGGCCTCCAAAAAGATGAGGCTGTTAAATAGTGAAACGTGGACAGCGATTGGAAGTGAAACAGCGCCCACTAGTGGGTCAACCCACTGCTCTTTTCTGGAGAGTATACCAATTAATAATAAAAATATCTTAAAATTGTTAAGATAAATAATAATCGCTGTTATTTTTTTTAGCGAAACTAGAAAAAAGACACATATACTATTTCTTGAAGGGGAAGTCCAGCAAATGTTCAAAATTTTAGGATAATTAAATGATAAAAGTCATTCGGAGTTGTTCAAAGTGGTGGTGATAGGAACCAAACGTCCACCTCTAAATGCTCCCTCACAGAAAATTATTGCATGAAATGGAGGCCCTGTTTTTTAGTAGTTTTGAGAAGATTTTGGCCTAAAACGCATCCTTTAAAGCCCACTCATAGTGGAGGGGTACATGCAGGGTGTTATGAAGCAAAATAGTCCACAAAGAAAACTACTTTCTGATTTGCCACTATTTTAATACTATTAATATTCCATATAAACACTCAAAAGACACATGTAGGTTCACTGGTGGTTTTGGATAGTAAATAAAATATTTAAAATATAAAGTATTTGTGTTGTAGTCATGGTGACCCCTGGTTCCTATCACCACCACTGTACAGACATCTGAAACATTTCACACAAAATCATTTTGAATCACTTTGTTTACATTTCAGTCACTGAATTATGCAGAAATTTTAAAAATTGGTGGAATTCCCCTTTGAAGAATATTCAATAATTCTTTTTTTAGTTCCAGGCTGTCCTGATTTGTAACAAGCTCGATGAAATTTGTCAGAATGGACATATTTACCTTAATGAACACGATCAAGCCTTGTAGAGCACTTTTGTTTTAACAGTAAATGACATGTTGACAATAAAAATTATTATATATTTTAATAATCAACAATATTATTGGCCACTGCAAGCCAACATACCAGTTACTTTAGTCTAGTATGATGAAATAGTATTAGTAGTAAGTAATTAATAATTGATAATAGTAGTATTGCTTACTGTAAACAGATGGACACATTTAAATGAATTTAGGGGCTTTTCAGTCTCATATAAATGCAGTTTCGGCCTTAATATAACTGCAGTATTTATCACAAAGTGCCAAAACTAAATGCTCCCACGTCTGAATCAATTTAAATAAAAGTGTCAAAAAAATCTGTTGAAGTGACCACCATCACAGCCCCTCGTTTGAGGCCTTTATCCTTTATCTTCTAACCTTATATTTAAACACAAAAGTGTCTGCCCTCCAGAACATTCTGCAGAGTCACCCAGACAAACCAAACTGAACTGCACAGATGCTGCCGCCACCCTTATTTGACTGGGACGGTCAGACTGCAGTTAGGAGGAGTAAACAGTGTCTGCAGATGGAGCAGATACAAGTGAAGAGCTACCCTATTTAAAGAGAAGCTGCTCATTAAAACAGACCAAACACCATCAGCCAATAGGAGCGCAGAAACGTATCGACACATCAATTTCAGAATGTTTGAATTGATTATGACCTATTGGAATAATATTCTGGCTCATTTGTCAGCCAAGAACAACATCCTCAGGGTGCTTTGTCACATTATGTTTCATAATGAAGAGAAAAGTAATTACTATGAATTATTCAGTAACTACTATGAATTATTCAGTAACTACTATGAATTATTCAGTATCTACTATGAATTATTCAGCAACTGCTATAAATTATTTGGTATATACTATTTAGTAACTACTATGAATTATTCACTATCTACTATGAATTATTCGGTCTCTACTATTTAGTAACTACTATGAATTATTCAGTATCTACTATGAATTATTCAGTATCTACTATTTAGTAACTACTATGAATTATTCAGTACCTTCTATGAATTATTCGGTCTCTACTATTTAGTAACTACTATGAATTATTCAGTACCTTCTATGAATTATTCAGTAACTACTATGAATTATTCAGTATCTACTATTTAGTAACTACTACGAATTATTCAGTACCTACTATGAATTATTCAGTAACTACTATGAATTTTCAGTAACTACTATGAATTATTCGGTCTCTACTATTAGTAACTACTATGAATTATTTAGTACCTTCTATGAATTATTCAGTAACTACTATGAATTATTCAGTAACTACTATGAATTATTCGGTCTCTACTATTTAGTAACTACTATGAATTATTTAGTACCTTCTATGAATTATTCAGTACCTACTATGAATTATTCAGTAACTACTATGAATTATTCAGTAACTACTATGAATTATTCAGTATCTACTATTTAGTAACTACTACGAATTATTCAGTACCTACTATGAATTATTCAGTAACTACTATGAATTATTCAGTAACTACTATGAATTATTCGGTCTCTACTACTTAGTAATTACTATGAATTATTCAGTACCTTCTATGAATTATTCAGTATCTACTATTTAGTAACTACTACAAATTATTCAGTACCTACTATGAATTATTCAGTATCTACTATTCAGTAACTACTATGAATTATTCAGTACCTTCTATGAATTATTCAGTATCTACTATGAATTATTCAGTTACTGCTATAAATTATTCAGTAACTACTATGAATTATTCAGTAACTACTATGAATTATTCAGTATCTACTATGAATTATTCAGTAACTGCTATAAATTATTTGGTATATACTATTTAGTAACTACTATGAATTATTCACTATCTACTATGAATTATTCGGTCTCTACTATTTAGTAACTACTATGAATTATTCAGTATCTACTATGAATTATTCAGTATCTACTATTTAGTAACTACTACGAATTATTCAGTACCTACTATGAATTATTCGGTCTCTACTATTTAGTAACTACTATGAATTATTCAGTACCTTCTATGAATTATTCAGTAACTACTATGAATTATTCAGTATCTACTATTTAGTAACTACTACGAATTATTCAGTACCTACTATGAATTATTCAGTAACTACTATGAATTATTCAGTAACTACTATGAATTATTCTGTCTCTACTATTTAGTAACTACTATGAATTATTTAGTACCTTCTATGAATTATTCAGTAACTACTATGAATTATTCAGTATCTACTATTTAGTAACTACTACGAATTATTCAGTACCTACTATGAATTATTCAGTAACTACTATGAATTATTCAGTAACTACTATGAATTATTCGGTCTCTACTACTTAGTAATTACTATGAATTATTCAGTACCTTCTATGAATTATTCAGTATCTACTATTTAGTAACTACTACAAATTATTCAGTACCTACTATGAATTATTCAGTATCTACTATTCAGTAACTACTATGAATTATTCAGTACCTTCTATGAATTATTTAGTACCTTCTATGAATTATTCAGTTACTGCTATAAATTATTTGGTATCTACTATTTAGTAAATACTATGAATTATTCAGTACCTTCTATGAATTATTCAGTATCTACTATGAATTATTCAGTATCTACTATTTAGTAACTACAATGAAATATTCAGTATCTACTATTTAGTAAATACTATGAATTATTCAGTACCTACTATGAATTATTCAGTATCTACTATTCAGTAACTACTATGAATTATTCAGTAACTACTATGAATTATTCAGTAACTACTATGAATTATTCAGTAACTTCTATGAATTATTCAGTATCTACTATGAATTTTTCAATAACTACTATGAATTATTCAGTATCTACTATGAATCTAGTGTGTAAGCTGTGTAGTTGTGATAGTGAGGAGCTGAAGTGTGGACCCTCATTCAGACCCTCAGAGTTAAAGGGGTTAAAAGCGACAGTGATGAGTGGAGTGGTGAGCTGTGGTGAGTTGTGTATGTCACTGTACACTCATGTGTGATTTGACGCAGCTCTCAACTCACCAGGAGACGCCAGCGTCCGGTTGAAGATGAAGCCATACGGGGTCGTCCAGTCCACACGGGTCACACGATCCAGTCCAAAAACAGGACAAACAGAGAGAAACACATACAAACAGGTGAGGCCAGGTAGAAAATCACATGTAAGAACCATAAAGCAGTGGTTTACATCAGCTTAGGGGTCCTGGAGTTCTGATCCAGCTCATCGGCTGATTAACGAGCCCCTACCTGAGGGGGTTTCAGGCTAGTTATTAATCAGACGTCAGCACATCTGCTTTCAGAGCGAGTAAACCAGAAAAAAGAAACCAGACCTACCTCACCTTAGTGACCACAAATGACCTCCAATCAGCCGATCTGCCGAGGGAGATTTCGAAGAGTCGGTGGCAAACTGATTAGCGATATCTGTTTATGATCTACAGTTTGGGCTAAAATTCGGTCCCTCGGCCTCTGCGGTCCGCCGCATCGCTGCACGACTGTCCAGATTTGGGAAAAAAGGATTAGGGCCGAAACGACTTATCCAGATCCACCATCTGGCCCCCGAAATCAAACCAACCGGGAGAGGGAGGGAGGCTGAGAGAAGCTGCTAGCGCCTGCTATCTTACACTCCGTTACACAACATCACCTGGTGTAGCAGCGCTGTGGCTTCAGGATGCAGCTGAACAGGGCTAATTCTTTAGCGTTATAAATAGCGGTTCTGGACACTGGCCGAGGTGAAAGGTCAAAGAGGATTAACCTCTTAAAGCCCAAAGTCCTGCATGTTGGTACACTCTTATTCCTTAAAATACATTTTTCACAGTAGCTTCTGAACAATTCAGTGTAGCTACTGAAGTCTTAGACCAATAACCGAATAATGAGGCCGGGGATGAAGAAGGACGTGTTCTCTTAAAGGTTCCTGATGCTAAAGCAGAACCTGGGCCAAAAACAAGACCCATAAACAAGAACACAGAGATTTTGGGTTGTTTTATTGGAAACGCCTACCTAGTACTTCCA